GGGGTGTCAGAATCCAATTATTCGTTAGATCTTTCTCTAGGTACCTTCCCCAGGCCCTGTGAAGGGTAGAAATAGGGAGTGGGAGAGGAGATAACAGCACATTTTGGACCCCTCCCCAGCAACACTTCTCTAAGGGAAATAACCTACCTCTGACAATGGCACCAGCAGCCAACGAACCACAGCTGGTTTTCTAGCTAAAGACCAAAAAGGGGAAGGGAAGGCACCAGTGAAGAAGAAGGGACCTTTCTAAGAGAAAGAAAACACCGAGTAGCAGCCAATGAGCATTACTCAGGTGAGGCCTTCATCTGCCTCTGCTACTCTGCTCTCATCTGATGCATGAAAATTGTTTCACTAAGGGTACATCTACACTGCAACGCTATTTTGGGATACCAGAGTATCCCAAAATAGCTATCCTGCATCTTCATGGCAAGGCCGTTATTTCGGGCTCGCTATTCTGACATCCCTGTAAACCTCATTCTATGGGGAGTAAGGGATGCTTTGGAATTGCACTTTATTTCAAAATTTGACACTGTGTAGACAGCACCAAATGATGAAATAAGCTATTTCGAAATAGCATCGAAATAAGATATGCAATTTGCGTAGCTCAAATTGCATATCTTATTTTTATTTACCGGTCAGTGTAGGCACACCTTAACTGGGGACATGAGCAGAGGGAAACTCAGAGCTTGAGAGCATTTCTGGAGGGAACTGGCTAGAACCCTTCATAAAAGACGATTACTTACCTCGTAACTGTTGTTCTTCGAGATGTGTTGCTTATGTCCATTCCATCTAGGTCTGTGCGCGCCCTGTGCACAAGTTCCGGAAGCTTTTTTGCCCTTAGCAGTACCCGTTGGGCCAGCAAAGGAGCCCCTTGGAGTGCACCAGCATATCCTAGCATATAAACCCCTGCTTGCCCTCCATTCCCTCTGTTCCTTCTTGCTGGAGATTCCGACAAAGGTAGAGGTGGGCGGGATAGGAATGGACATAAGCAACATCTCTCAAAGAACAACAGTTATGAGGTAAGTAACCATCTTTTCTTCTTCGAGTGCTTGCTTATGTCCATTCTGTCTAGGTGATTCCAAGCAAATCCCTAAGGAGGTGGGGTGGGAACCTAGAGCAAAATGGACTGCAGCACCGCCTGACCTGCTGCTGCGTCCTGACTAGCCTGCTGTGTGATGGCGTAATGCTTGGCGAAGGTATGGACCGAGGACCAGGTGGCTCCCCTACATATGTCCATGATCAGCACCTGGGCCAGGAAGGCCATGGAGGATGCCTGAGCCCTGGTTGAGTGGACTGTGAGAGGTGGAGCTACCTTCCCTCTAAGGTTGTAACAGGTCCTGATACACAACGTGATCCATGACGGAAGGCACTGAGATGAGATCAGGGAACCCTTCATTCTGTCTGCTATGGAGACAAATAGTTGAGTGGATTTGCGAAACGACCACGTCCTGTCTAAATAAAAGGCGAGAGCCCTCCTAACATCCAGCAAGTGCAGCGGTCTCTCTCTCTCTCATCTGCATGCGGCTTAGGGTAAAATACTGGTAGGAAAATCTCCCGGGACACGTGGAACATAGAAACTACCTTACGGAGGAAAGCTGGGTGGGGGTGCATCGTCACCTTGTCCCTAGAAATCACCGTGTACGGTGGTTCCGAGGAGAGGGCCTGTAGCTCGGAGACCCTTCTAGCCGAGGTAATGGCTACCAGAAACACCACCTTCCATGAGAGGTTGGAGAGAGAACAGGCAGCCAGTGGCTCGAACTGCGGGCCCATAAGCCCCCGCAGTACCAGGTTCAAATCTCACTGGGGTATAGGCTGCTGGACATGGGGGAATAACCTGTCCAACTCTTTCAGGAGGCGCTTTACGATGTCATGCACAAAAACCGACCTGCAACCCTCACCCTGGTGGAAGGCCACAATGGCCGCCAGGTGCACCCTAATTGATGAGGTGACTAACTCCTGGCTCCAGAGGTCGAGGAGGTAGTCTAGAATAAGGGGAACCGGGGCCCTTTCCAGAGCTTCCCCTTTCTGGTTGATCCAGACAGAAAACCTTTTCCATTTGGCTAGGTAGGAGTATCTAGTAGAGGGTTTCCTGCTTTCCATGAGCACCCTCCTTACTGGGGTGGAGCAGAGGAGCTCCCCCTCCCACACCCACTGATCCACCAGGCCTTGAGGTGTAGGGACTGCAGGTTCATGTGGCACAACCAACCATGGTCAAGCTCCTGCATTAGGAGGTCCAGGACCATCGGGAGGGGGATGGGCTCCTCCACCAACAGCGACACCAGTGTCGTGTACAAGTGTTGTCTGGGCCAATCCGGGGCTATGAGAATGAGCATGATCCCATACCTCCTGACCCTCAAGATCACCTCGTGGACCAGGGGGAAAGGGGGAGAGGTATATAAGAGGCCCACCAGCCAAAGCCCCACCAGGGTGTTGCCCATGGAACTCCTCTCCTGACACCTGTAGAAGAAGAACTGGGGGCATTTCCTGTTGGCATGGGACGCGAACAGGTCTATCAGGGGAGTGCCCCACCTGTGGAAGAGAGAGGACGCCACCTCCCCTTTGAGAGACCACTCATGATCCGAAAAGATCCGACTGAGGCGGTCTGCCATGGTGTTGAAAGAGTCCAGCAGGTACGTGGCCTGCAAATGCGTCCCCTGTGCAATACACAGATCCCAGAGGGCTATTGTCTCCTGGCACAGGGGAGAGGAACAAGCACCATCTTGATGTCTGATGTAGTACATCGCCGTCGTGTTGTCCATGAGAACGGACAAACACTTCCCCCTCAGTTGGGGAATAAATGCCTGGCAGGCCAGATGCACTGCCCTTAGTTCCCAGACATTGATATGCAGGTTCCTCTCTGCCTCGGACCACATACCTTGGGTTCGGAGATCTGCCAGGTGGATTCATTTACACTATCTACTAACTATCAACTGTTAAGTACTTCCAACAACAACTATTTACACAAGAAAGGCTAAGGGTGCACTTGCAAAACAGTCACAGGTGGAAAGAAGGAACTGAGGGGGTGGAGGGCCAGCAGGGGGTTATATGCCAGCGCCACTCCAGGGGGCTCTCTTGCTGGCTCAACGGGTACTGCTAAGGGCAAAAAAGCTTCCGGAACTTGTACACAGGGCACACACACACCTAGACGGAATGGACATAAGCAAGCACTCAGTGAAGAACCGCAGATATCCACTTCATATCCAGGGATTTCGCTTCATACCCATGGATAGTGGAGTGGATACCTGTGCAGGCTGTCCTTCCCCCCCCCCCAGCCATTAGGCAGGGTGCCAGAACACGTCCCTGCACTGCCCTCGGGGAAAGGATGCAACAAACTTCATCCTAGCTCCTCCTGTAAGGAGGATTTAAGTGCCAGTTCTGCCCGGCACCCCTCCCTCTTGCTTGGTGAGGACTGACCTAAGCAGCCATGGCCCTGGGTCCCTGCTGCCTCTTACCCCTAGTCTCTGCTTTCATGCTGCCTGCCTCTTCCTTGCATGACCCTCCTGCCCCCTCCTCACTCATCTGTGCTCTCCTTCCCTCCCACCCCCAGAAGATTTGCTGTGTGGGTGCAAGTAAAATCTGGATCACAGATTGGATAATGAGTTGAGCCTGGAGGATGCAGATCAGATGAGGATCTACATTTTTGCATCCATGAAGGGCACTAGTAATGGGGAGGTGATGTGGAGGTGGTTTACCAACTGAGGTAGTTATGGAGGAGAGCTGATAGCACTAATCTTGGTACTTCCATCCCTTTGCTGAGAGAGCTCCTCTATCAACCTGCATTGAAATATTTGAGGCAGGAATAAAAAAAAGTGTGTGTGAAATGTTCCTTAAAACTGAATTAGTTGGCTGTGAATGTTTTGATCTTTCAATTGAGCAAGGAGGAACAAATATTACTGAGCATGATAAGTTTTTCTGTTATAGAGAAGGCCTAAGACACAATGTGGAATTCCAAATACTGAGATGATAGGAACTTCAGAAATGTGTAGCAAGTCTGTGCTCCCCACAATTTTCTTTTCAGCTTGCATTTCTTCAATTAGGGCAGGAAAACATCTGTTGGTTGTTCGACAAGATAGAAATGTACACAGGAAACATGACTCAAATTTAAGGGGATATCTTACAAAGCTATTCTAATTTATTTTCAGCTATTCCATCTCCATAAATCACATCTTGCTACGAGCAAGCAAACGCTCAATCCCTTAATAGTCTGACGCATCAGACTTAGAAAAATGAGATGTTTTGATTGGCCGGTTAAATTTTATTTTTCTTCTTGTCTGACATAGTTACTGCAACATAAAGGGTGGTCAGTGCTTTGAAAAAATAATAGCTGAAAAGTGTATGTAGGGAATTTTTAACTGCAGAAAGTTAAAGTATTTATAATATGTTTAGAAATAATGCATCACTTTTACACTATAAATATCATCTCATTCAAGGCACTGACAGAGAAAACACTATTAAATATAGAATCCCCAGCAATATATATTAACATACAGAATATTTATCTCCAGATTGTAGTGTATATTTCTACAATATTTATGGTATAAAATAATTTAAATGCGATTTTTAGTTATATTTTTCATTAGCATTCATCAGAAAGCCTGAAAGGCTTAAGTCAAGAGATTTTTTTAAAAATCCTTTATTCTGACTGGGAGAAACTGATGAATACAATATATAGAAGTGATTAAAGACCAGAAGAGTCTAGAACTAGGCTCCATATAATGTTGCAAGACAAAAAATGGCTTTTATTTTTGTTTTGAATTTCTTAGATTTGGATATTACTCAAGCTCCTGGTATTAATTAATGTACCATAAATACAAAGTTTATTTCAGAACATTTAGATTTAAAAGAAGCGATACCAAATAAAGGGCCTGAATCTCTACTGACTGGCAACTAACATTTTGATTTGTGTTAAGTACAGGTATAAATAACTACACAAGGAGCAAAGAAGTGAAGAAAAACATGTGTAAGTCTCATGGAGTAAACAATGTAAAAAGATAACTTACTTCAAAAAGAAACAGAATGGAGTCCAGTTCTTCCCTTTGTGATTTATTCCCTGCAATACAGAAAAAAATATTGCATTTTTGTTCTACAACTGCAAGAAAATATAAAAAGGAACAGAATGTGGGGTTTTTTATTTAAGTGAACTGAAAGGCTTTGAGCCAGTGTAGAAAGAAATCTCTCCATATTGCAGTGTATTTAGCAGCTATCAATGAATAACATCTAAAAAGACCAAATCCGCAAACTCGTATCTTCCTACTTAACTTGAAGCATACGTATAGTTCAACCAAAGAACCTTCATGTTAACTGAAGTCAAAGGAACTATTCATTTGTACAAAAGTGAATTTCTGCAACAAGAGATGGAAATATTTGGTGTACTTGATTTTTGTACATAAACATAATCCACATTAAATTCATCACTGCAATCTTTAAATAGTTTCAGTTAATGAAAATAATGTATTTGAACATACACATTTAGCAAATATGTTTTTTTAAAATCAACCATCTGAAGTTTATTTAATCCTTTCCTTTCTTGATAAGGCCTTGTCAACACACAAGCAGCACTGATTTAAATTGTTTTTAAACAGATTTAGTTAAATCTGCACAAATTCAAAACCTAAGTCTCAGACAGAAACAATAATCTCCCTGTAGCCCAAACTTTGGCACTGAACTTGTTGAAGACATTTATGACACTTTCCTTGTTTGCATGTCCCATTAGACTGTTTCCCAGCTAGCAGGCTGACTGTTTTAGATACCATGCCTATCTCCTCCCATTCATTGCACAGGAAGTTTAGATGTCCAATTCAGGCTTTGTGGACCCCCTTGCCATTAATTTTTAGATGCCTAGAAAATAACTTAAGAATTGCAACACTTCTGTCGAGGATCCACAAAGCTTCCCTTTATTAAAGATAAATCCAGATTCTCAGAATATAATTGAGAATTTGAAGGAAAGCAATGAGTTGAAAAGTTCACTGTGGAGTCAGGCATTTACAGAAGTTTCGAAGATTTGTCAGCAATTTGTTTTTCCACTCTGAGCTGTGTGTCATGTGAGGAATATTTTAGAAATAAATATTAATGGGGACTGCCCCTTCCACTGAATGCCCACCCCTTCCATGTGAGGCCCTGCCCTTTCCAGGGACAGTGTCAGCCCACAACCACTACCCGTTGGCCCCCTGCAAAAAATTATTGCCCACCCCGATGTAGAGCACTATTAATACAGCAAGATATGGAACACAAATCAATTAGAGATTGTATTGTATTAGAATGCTTTTGAAATTGAATAAGAACTTGGGGTTTATGAAAAATCCTGGCAAAACAGTAGGACAGATTACCTTTTTGTTTCAAGCTATTTTCCAGTGTTATGAAGTTTTCATAGAAGATAAAATAAATTTGAGAATAATTGATCTCAAAAAATTGCTTCAGGTCACTTCCATCTGCAATATCTGAAAATTAAGGAGAAGTACAAGATAAAACAATGTAACTTACAAACATCAGAAGTATGAAGCCAGTGTTTTCTTAATTAAAAAAATCTTAGCATGAAAAATTCACTATTGATGTAGCAATAATAGAACTATCACATTAATTTTCTATAAAATACTTAACATTAAATTTATGCTGTGCTACTAATGTCCAAAACATGGATATTTAAATTCTTTCACTTACCTTTATCAAAGGGAACTGAAGAAAATTGGATATTTAAAAAAAAAAAAAAAAAAACCACCAAAACCATTCACAATTCTTCAAGCACAAGTTTTGTCTTATTTACCAAAAACAAACAAAACAAAACAAAACAACCAACAACAACAGCAGTGATCCAGACCCTCACACTTGTACATATATTTGTGGTAAACAAACAGAGAGTCAAAAAGGTTTCTGACAGGCCAGCTACATGTGCAAAAATAATTTCAAATTAAACTGCACTGATAGCACATACAAATTATGGACATTATGGAGAACCATTATACTGTTCTGGATACGGGAGACAAGGAATCACCCGCTCAGGCAGAAGAGAAGTCTTGTACCCCCAAGGCTGGAATGTCAGCAGCCACCACTGCGAGGAAGAAACGTAGGGTAGTGGTGGTTGGAGACTCTCTTCTGAGGGGGGATGGAGGCACTCATCTGCCACCCTGACATGACAACTTGGGAAGTATGCTGCCTGCCAGGTGCCCGTATCTAAGAAGTTACGGAGCGACTGTCGAGGATTAGCCGACACTGGCTACTACCCCATACTACTCATCCATGTGGGCACTAATGATACTGCAAAGTGTGACCAAGAGTGACTACAGGGCTCTGGGAGTACAGGAGGTATTCTCTTCAGTCCTTCCTGTCAAAGGTAGGGGCCTAGGCAGACACAGGTGCATCCTGGAGGTGAATGCCTGGCTGTGAAGATGTGTTGCCAGGAGGGATCTGGCTTCCTTGACCACGAGATGCTGTTCCAAGAAGGAGGACTGCCAAGCAGGGATGGGGCTCACTTTTCAAGGAAGGGGAAGAGAGTATTTGGATACAGACTGGCTACCCTAGTGAGGAGGGCTTTAAACTAGGTTCAATGGGACCAGGTGACCAAAGCCCACAGAGAAGTGAAAAACATGGAGACCTGGGAGATGGGACAGAAATGGAAGGGATCATGAGCTAAAACAGCAGAGATAAAGGAGGGACAAGGCAGAACTGGGGGGCAAAACCAAGTCAGTATCTTAGATGCCTGTGAACAAATGCAGGAAGTATGAGAAATAAACAAGAAGAACTTAAAAGTGCTAATAAATAAACACAACTATGGCACAGTTGATATCACAAACATTTGGTGGGATAATACACACATTTGGAATATTGGTATAGAAGAGTACAGCTTGCTCAGGAAGCATAGGCAGGAAAAAGGGGAGGAGGTGTTGCCTCACATATTGAAAATGCATACACTTGGAAATGGACATAAGGAAACAGACTTGTTGAGTCTCTGGGTTAGGTTAAAGGGGGTAAAAAAAAGGGCAATGTCACACTAGGGGTCTACTACAGACCACCTAACCATGCAGAAGACATCGATTAGGCTTTTTTAAACAACTAACAAAATCATCCAAAGCACAGGATTTGGTGGTGATACGGGACTTCAACTATCCAGACATATGTTAGGAAACTAACACAGGAGGTCACAGATTATCCAATAGGTTATTGGACTGCATTGGAGACAAGCTTTTTATATGAGAAGGTTGAAAAAGCTATTGGGGAAAACTGTTCTAGATTTGATTTTGACAAACACAGAGGAGTTGAAAACATGAAAGTAGAAGACAGCTTGAATGAAAGTGATCATGAAATCAGAGTTCATGATTCTAAGGAATGGTAGAAGGGAGAACAGCAGAATAGAAATATTGGATTCCAGGAAAGCAGATTTTAATAAACTCACAGCAGTAGTAGGTAAGGTCCCATGGGAAGCAAGACTAAAAGAGGAAAACCAACTGAAGAGAGTTGGCAGTTTTTCAAAGGGACATCATTAAGGGCCCAAAAGCAAACTATTTCATTGCATAGGAAAGATAGAAAGCATAACAAGAGATCACCTTGGCTTACCAGGATATCTTACATGATCTAAAAATCAAAAAGAAGTCATATAAAAAGTGGAAACTAGGTCAAATTACAAAGGATAAATATAAGCAAACAACACAAGCATGCAGGGGCAAGGTTAGAAAGGCAAACTCACAAAACGAGCTCAATCTATCTAGAGATATAAAAGGTAACATGAAAACATTCTACAAATAACATATATTAGAAGTAAGAGAAAGACCAAAGACAGGGTATGCCATTGCAAAGTGAAGAGGGAGAAATAATAACAGGAAACTCAGAAATGGCAGAGTTTGACTTGTTTTCACCAAGAAGTTTGATGGTGACGGATGCCTAACATGGTGAATGCTAGTGGAAATGGGTTAGGTTTATAAGTTAAAACAAAAAAAGAACTAGTTAAAAATTACTCAGAAAAGTTAGATGTCTTAAAGTCACCAGGGCCTGATGAAATGCATCTTAGAATACACAAGGAGCTGATAGAGTAGGTATCTGAGCCTTTAACTATCATCTTTGAAAAGTACAGGAAAAGGGCAAATATAGTGTCCATCTATAAAAAGGGAAAGAAGAACCACCCAGAAAACTACAGACCAGTTAGATTAACTTATGTGCCAGGTAAGATAATGGAGCATATACAGTAATTAAGGAATTCATCTGCAAACATCTGGAGGATAGTAAGGTGATAGGTAACAGCCAGAATGGATTTGTAAAAAACATATCATGTCAAACCAATCTGACAGATTTCTCTGATACGATAACAAGCCTTGTGGATAAGGGAGAAGCGGTGGACATGGTATACCTAGACTTTAGTAAAGCACCTGATACAGTCTCACATGACCTTTTTTTAATCAATAAACTAGGCAAATACAACTTAGATAGGGCTACTACAAGGTGGGTGCATAACTGGCTGGATAACCATTAACAAGGAGTAATTATTAATGGTTCACAGTCATGCTAGAAGGGCATAAGAAGTGGGACCTGTTTTGTGACCTGTTCTGTTCAATATCTTCATCAACGATTTAGATGATGACCTAGAGCAGAAGTGGGCAGGAGGAGGCTAGAGGGCCAGATCCTGCCCCCCAAGCCGCCAGACTTGGCCTATGGCCACCTTGCCAACACCCTTACTACAGAATAGGAGCAGATGCTTTAAATAGCAGGCTGCTAATTGCTCTGCATGTTGGGCAGTGAGGAAAAAGCTTGGCACGCTGTCCTCTCCCCCTAGCAAAATCCCCAAACTCCCATTGGCCAGTTTCCGGCCAACAGGAGCTGAGAAATTTTCCTGAAGGCAAGGGCAGCGAATGAGGCCTCCTCTCTCCCTCCCTCCCTGTGCTGGAGCAAGTCATATGGAACAGCCCACAGGAATGGAGTCTGCAGAACTGCTGGCTGGGAGCCACTTAGGTAAGTGCCTCCCACCCAGAGCCTACCTGTGCCCTGCCTTATCAGCACTTAGAATCATAGAGCTGGAAGAGACCTCAGAAGGTCATCAAGTCCAGCCCCCTGCTCTAGGCAGGACCAACTAAATCAACCCGGCCAGGGCTTTGTCAAGCCGAGACTTAAACACCTCTAGGGATGGAGACTCCACTACTTCCCTAAGTAACCCATTCCAGTGCTTCACTACCCTCCTAGTGAAATAGTTTTTCCTAATATCCAACCTGGACCTCTCCCACCATTGCTCCTTGTTCTGCCATCTGTCACTACTAAGAACAGCCTTTCTCCATCCTCACTTTCATGGGGGAGTAAGTAGTGAAATGCCTAATCAAAAGATAAACTAATTAACAAGAGGGCAGATAACCACTCACAATTATTATTGTTATTCTGAGATAACCATATGTTTTTTTGGCTACATCCGTTTCCTTCCAACCTATTTTGTTTCTAAAATTCTCTTGCAGAAAACAAAGAAACAATCTGCCACTTTGAATGATAAGAGGTCAAAGGGGCACTCAGCAGCAGCACACTCTTTAATGTGCCAGTGGCAGCTAGTACCAGTATAATTAAGTTTCTGGTAAAATTCTGTGCATAAGTTGTTGGTTGTGGTGCAAAATGATACACTTAAAAAATTTTGAACAGCCATGTGTATAGATCTCTGAATTTCCTTATTTAATTGTCTACTGAAAAATCATGTCTGTCCTCCTCCACATAGCAATAAGAGGAATATAGAGATAGATTCTACCAACATATGTGAATATTACACTTCTGAATGGAGCTCTCAGTTGGCGACAAGTGCAAAAAAAGAAATGAATACACAGTGAGCCACATACAGTAAAACTCCATTAGTTCGCATCCAATGCTCCGGGACTCCTGATGGTCCGGCACCAGCAGCATCAGTTTCACCAACAGGTTGAATCCAGACGCCTGGGACAGAGCAGCTGGGGTGCTGCGGGGTTGGTCCCGTAGCCCCGCCCCTTGGCGCTGCGGGATAACCCGGCAGGACCCCAGCGGCTCTGC